ATGGTTCACCAATTCAGAGCCAGAGGAAAGACTAGGAGCAGAACAAAGACACTGAACAGAAGAATGGAGGACTCTTCTGTGGCTGACTGGCTGAAGGAAACCTACTTAGTCTGGACTCATGGCAACCTAGGACACAAAAATCCCATAAACAACAGGGCATTTGTGCATGTAACTCCCTGTACACTGCTCTGAAAATTCATTTTGCAGAGTTTTTTCTCCCTCTCAAGTCTTACACATGCACACACTGCACTGCGTGTTAGTAGCTTTCATATCCATTTAAATGCTACAGCCAAGAAACACTGTGCACATTCACCAGCTCTGCTTTTCTGAAAAAGAGGCTGAGAAATTGGCATCTAGTCCAAAGGGACCATATTACAAAATATTTAAAGAGGGATTGAAAGGCCATGCACCAAAATGCCAAAAACCCAATGAAGCCAAACCTGTTAAAGAATGTGGTTTTGTGCGGTGCAAGAAGATACAAAAATAAACATGTATAAACTCTAACTATCTTTGGCTTAAAACTTCGGGCCTTATTTGACCTATATTGCATATTTTTAAACTAAGGGTCTTATTTTTAGAACAGTTCTGAATTAAACCTTTCAAAAAAAAAAAAAAAAAAACCCAAAGTGAAAAGTAAAGCTGATACTAATACCTTTGGGGTTAGGCATTTTGGCCATTTTAGTCCTGGCACTTTTCCATCAAATTCCAAAATAAATAAATAACTAAATCTACAGAAATCTAATTTGGAAGTCCCCGTTGTCTGAATTAACTTGATACAACAAAAGATAGAACTGCTTAACAAACCTTGACTTTTATGAATGCACAAACTTCAGGATTTGCTACTCTGGGGTTGTTTATAGAATACTACTTTCAGATTTGCTTACTAGAGTTTATACTCACTTTACAGCCAAAGAAAAGTGGAGCAAGTTGAAAGCACAAAACTAATTTATTTTTAAAAGTTTTATGACATCTGTTAAGTTAAAACAAACTACAACAGGGTTTTAGGCTGCATACTTATTACCAGAAACCTTGCCTGAGTGGGGAAACAGTTTTTAAGCACGCCAGTAAAGAGACTCAAGGCACTATACTCACCAGTATGAATCTTCTCATGCCTCTGTAGCAGGTACTTCTGTATGAAACGCATGTCGCACTGACTGCACTGAAATGGTTTTTCACCTTGAACAATATAATTCCACATCCATAAGTTAATAACTACACACTGTTGTTTCTGATAACTACTTTTGAGGAATATTAAAATGTCTATTAAAAAACCAGCATCTGAGCGAATTCCAAAAATACTCCAATACCAAAAAACATTAGCCTTACTAAGTATATGAACTGCAGAATTCTTTCCATGATCCTAAGAGTCACATTAAGACTAGCACGGAAGAGTGATCTGAAATGGCTGTAATTTCCTCATGAACAAGATCAATCACGATGCTGGCATAAGACTGCATTCAGGATACTGGCAAGCTATTACAACAGTAAGTACCTTTTTCACTTCTCCGAACCAGAGAGATACCTCATCAGGCAAATAAGCAGCCGGAGCACATTTTACAAAGGGGTCAATTTTGGCACTTAGGCTACAAGTCAACCCATTACTTTCTGATAAAGAAAGAAAAGAAACCTTGTAAACAGCTAGGTCTTCAGTTTATTAAACATATGTTGATTTTTTTTTTTTCCTGGTATTCTTTTGACACTTTGGTGCATGGAATCTCTAAGCTTAGATGCCAAGTTAGCTACACTTTTAAAACTGAAATTCACATAGAGCTGAAAACATTTTTAACATAAGTAAACAACTCTTTATATAGTAGAAAAGACAAATTTGAAGTCAAGCAGTACCTGTATGAATGAAGACATGTCTCTGTAAATGGTAGTTGGTTCTAAAGGCAGCATTGCAATGCTCACAAACATGAGATTTGTGGGTTTTCAGACCAAGTGATCCATCCTCATTTATTGTAAGGATCTATTTTAAAAAGAGTAAAATTTGTTCTCACACTACCCTCTAAAGATGTCTTATTAACTACAAAATAAAAAAAACCCATTAGTTTTTTCGATGCAGAAAATTTAAATATTTCAGGTAAAACAATGCTAATTTCTACAAAGCTATGTGTTAGGCTTTTAGTATACATTTCCAATTGCAGTCCAATCCAACTTGTGTCTCGTTGTGTATTAAGAGATATTTCAACAGGACGGAGACAAAAGCAGCTCATGGAAAATCAGCTTAGAGCTCCCCTATTCACAGCTGAGTCACTTTATATGCTACTGTTTACTTTGTCCGTCTGTTGGAAAGGATGCAAAGTAACCAAACCACCTCTGGGCACTGAACCATGGATAATCATATTTTAAAGCAAAAGTGAAAAGTTATATTCTTTTTTCAAATCACGATTGTTAATGTTTGCTAAAAGGCATTAAGACTTATCCAGGATAGTCATACAAATTATCTATATCTACATAATACCAATAGTCTTGGAGACAAAATTATATTTTAAAAACCAAAACCCCAAAGCCAAACAACCAAGAAAATAGTATTATTCTTCTCCCTTTTCAAGTTTTTCACTCAATAAAATATTGCTCACTCAATATACATATTAGAGCATCTCTTTGTCGAATTCAACTTGCCACACCCAATTGCTTTGCTGTCAAAGCCACTATTTTCATATAAAGTTGAAAAAACTTAAATTAAAAAAATTGCACCGTATCTACCTTATTCAATAAAGCTCACAGGTTTTCTCTAATTTGTCAAAAAGAAAAAAAACAAACCCCAAACTCTCTACTATCTCTGGCAAGAGAATAAGAAAACCAGTAAACAAATTACATTTCCAAAAGTCTTACTTAACTGGAAACAGAACTATAAAGAATAGCTTAAGTAACCTTAAGTAAAATAGTTTAGTCCCTTGTTATTAACAAAAAATAAAAGTCTGCTGGGGAAACACATCTGCAATTTGATTAGCTACAATGTTTCAGGTTTTATGATAATGACAGTGATGAGAAAGAGAGTCAATAACTGAAATAGTATCTATGCAATAGTAGCAAATATTGTAGGATCTACTTAAACAATTTTTAATTCTGCTGCATCAAAACTCAGCAAGAGTGAAAGTCTCAAGCTAACAAATTCTTGTGCATTCACTCTGAAGGACAAGCACATTCATACGTTTGTAAGATTGGTATGTTACAGCTCCAGTAAGTCACAGATACAGACAATTATAAAAACTCTGTTCTGTAACAACATACAGCTAATGAAACACTGACTGGTTATTTAAAATAAATTTAAATACATGTTATGAATTGTTTTTCATGTAATATATTGAAATTTTAAAATAATTGTGCAGAAAATACACTTAATTTCACGGTTATCCTAAACCTGGGCTCTTCTATTGCATCCATTCATTGTACCACCTCTTAAATGAAGAAAGTTAATTTTGTCAGTGCAGTTTTCCTAATAAAAGCAACAGAAAAGCTTGTGCGTGTGTGTGCGCGCGCGTGCGTGTATGCGTGTGCACGTGTGTTTGTGTGCATGGAAGAGGGAAGAGTAGACAGGATTCATAAAAGCTATTGACTTTTTATTTATATGATGACTACATTAATATAAAATAAAATTTAAAATGTTTCAGTATGTTAATTGACTTCCATTTGTAAAAGTCCCAGCTGCTGTTTGGATGGAAAATCAACCCCTCTGGGAATACTAACTTAAACTGCAGTAGGCTCTCACCTATGTCAGTCCTTCAGCTTCTTTCTGCCTTTCTACTCTGACAAGCTTGAAAAAAGGGGAAGAGAGACTGAAAAAGAACCTGTTTAACGATTCTCCTGATCATTTTTCAATCTTTTGTCATCTCAAAAGACTAACACTGACAGATTGGGAGATAAAAAGGAAGCATGCAAGTACATGTCTGTAGAAAGAGGGACACATGCCTCTCCTACCTTGCCATGTTTCCATGGAAGTGATCTGTGGAGGTACTCAACCTAGATGTCCTTTTTCTACCAAAGGGAGAAGTTTCTCGATGCACAGGATTTGGAACTTGCCTCCACACCCAATCTGAAACAATTTCTCAACTTTCCAAGAATACTACAGGTGCAACCTAATTTGACAGTGCTTTGAAGAAGACTGAGGGGCCCCACTCCCAGGCCAACAAAAAGGAGATTTTGGAGTTTTTCTTGGTGTTAGGGTGACTTTTCCTTCAATGTATACACAGTCGGGGTTGATTTCAGAGTAGGCTTATTTTAGCGCTGCTGTGTGATCATATATAACTGATTTTTGCCTATCAGAGCAGCCTGTATATGTTCTATTTTAAGTCTGAAGATTAATACTGATTTGGGGAATTACTAGAAGATGTAACACTGCTACCTCATGAGGTGAAATGATTCTGGCTTTATCTGAAGCGTGTCTCAATAGAAGAAAATTGTTTTCAGACATACAGGGATACATACTCTTCATGAATGGATCTACAAAACAAATTTTGAAGTAACAAACCAGCAGCTATGGCAAAGAATCTTTTGATATAAATAAATACATATATGAAGATGATTATGACCACAGGAATATTCCCTATTGGTAAATTATTTTTTATATATTAGTAAACTTTTTAGAATTTTCAAAACTACCATTTTAGATTTCTTTTTAAAAACTTTTCACTACTATGCATGAAGCATATAAAATTATCAGGCTCACAGAAAAGCACAACTATTAGATACAGAGTAATGATTTATAAATTGTCTACAAAGCTACTGACTCATAATTTAAAAAAAAATATTTGGAGAGAGAACTGCCTGGAGAGACAGATGTTAAAATATGTCAAGGGTTCATGTTGCTAAAAGGAGTTCAAAGAAAAACACTGTTATATCAGGTTTTGGTTTGGGTCTCTGGTGAACTTCAGAGCTGCATCTTTACTGAGCAAACAAACAATTTCCAGCCTAACTACTTCAAATGCTAATGAAATTAGTCATAGTCAACCAAATCTTCAGGTTCTTTTAATCTTGGTTTTGCCAAATCAATGTCTTACTTTTGCTGGTGAACGCTGTTTTCTTTTCTTCTTTTTCTGCAAATCTACTGGCTCTCGTATTTGTTTTTTGTCTCGTTTCTGTTGTTCAGATGCATCAGTAAAGGTAATTTCTTGCTTTACACTGATCTGTTAAGATACCAAGTGCCAGTTTCAGGTAAGGTTCTCACTACAGAAAAGCAATTTTTCAATTTTAGAAGATGACAAACTGCTGAAACAGAAAACCTTTTTCTAAGGGAATTATCTTGTGGCTTCATTCTTTCAGAAATTTAAGTGAAAGGAATAATAAGTATCTTAAATAAAAAGGGCATAGTTAATTTCTACAGTGACATTTTGATGTATCCTTTCATTCATCTCCCAAAGTCTTTTTTCCTTCCGACCTGTGGTGATTTTGAGATCAGTTCCTATATTAAAATCACTTCCATCTGTAAAACCATTCAGTTTTTCATACCTATTTTACTTTAGTCCGTGTGTTGTCAATGCAAGATTTAACGGAATAGTTTATTGTATATTTAAGACAGAAGTATTGTTTAAGAAAACAAGAGTAGTGCTAATGAAGTTTTTTCCAAAAAATAATCTAATGTAAACTTTAATAAAGAGCATGATACTCTTACATTTTTCTAATGCCTGAATCACCTGATCTACAGCTAACAGAGTAGTGTTTTAACAATGCTACCTTTCTAAAGATTATTCTTCGTATATAAGGCTATCTACTTTTAAAGTCCTGGCAATTCTCCTTTATGTTTGAAGGGTAACAGTGATGATGTGCTGCATTACAGACAGATGCTCTGTTTTCAAAAAGGAAGTCATCTATATTCTCTCTGGGAAAGCTGAGGTACACCTTCTATGAGATATCGAGGAGGGGCATATTTATGGTCACGTATGAAGTGTCACAGTCCAACCTGCAGTGTGAATGCAATTGCTAAGCGTCCACATACTTTGAAAACATACAAGATGCTTCCTATAGCGAAAGAAACTAAATAGTACTATGAACAGCATAAACAGTATGCACCTTTTAATAACGCTATTTATTCTGGTTTGTAGTTACCCTTGAACATTAAATATACTTAAAAGAGCACATTTTAACGCATTAACTCTATGGTAACAGCCTGCTTATAAAATATTTATAAAACAGATACTTAAAGATTATACTTAATTGGCAAAATTTACCAACAACCAGAGGGAAATGACATTTTCATAAATAGCATCCATTCATAAATATTTTGATAATCAAAATCCAAACAAGCAATTAATAGATTCTTGCCAGAGTAGGATTAGACTACCAGATCAAGCTTCCTAGTAATTTCTCCAATATTTCACAAAGAAATTGCTTACAGGGACATTAACAGCATACTGCAGCCCTTGAGGAAGTCTATCTTGCGTATCCATGTCATCATCATTTTTTACCGTCTCCTCATGGACCATGAGTTCATCATGTGAAATCATCTCTTGCTGTCGAAGTTCACTTTCCTGTAACACTTCATCTGCTGCAAGAATTTCTTGGTGCGCCATAGTCCGATCTTGAAGCACTGCCTCTTGCCGTTCTCCCGATACTCCAGACTGGTCAGATACTGCACCCATCCCTACCATAGCCCTGGATGACTGCATTTGGTCTATGCCACCACATTTAAGAAATAATCCTCCCAGCTTGTCTTCAATGTTCATTCTTAAGTGCAATAACCTACAAAGAAAGTTTTAATAGTAAACATCTACAATTGGTGCTCTTGCTTAAAATTTTTACTTAAAAACATTTTATAAGAACTCAGTACTCAACATACACACATGCATTCCTAAAACTGATATCCAACTAAAAGCGGAAAGTTGGATATCTTAGTTCAACATGAAAAGATTCTCCTTTCACACACATGCATGTGTACACAAACACACACTTTTAAGTTTCAAATCAAGGTGCCTTCTGATTACTGGCAAAATTCTGGTAATTAAATGACAGCTAACTCCTTCCCATTCATTAGGAATTTTTTTTTCCCCTGTGTGCCCTTTATACTCCGTTCCCTTTTTCCGTTTTGACTGTCTTTTACAAATGCCTCTTTCATATTGGTCCTGTTCTCCCTACTTCCTTGTCCTTTAAGTGCCCTTTCACTACTGCTACCCCAGGGTATACTGTAGCTGCTGGAACATCTTAATATCCACAAGCGAGAGAAAAGGCAACTTTCCGGCTAAAGGTATACGTCAAAGAAGACTATGGAGAGGTCAAATCTGTTTATAAAAAAGGCATTCACTTTCACACCTGCTAAGCAGGAGCATTAGTCAGGAAACATGAATTCCAGTCATGAATAGCAATACCATTACACTGACATGACATACACATAGATAATAGAATCATAATATTCCAACAAGTGTCATGGCATTATTAATTGTTTGTTAACATAGGGCAGCAGGCTTTGTGAAGCTGGAAGTGGCAGCATCTACTTATTCTACTTATTTTTATACATCCAAGGCAGTCCTAAGATGATTCTTCTCCTTGGTGTACTGCATGTCCAGTCACAGCAGTCAGCCTCCTTCACCCTACTCCCCAGGCCCGTAACTCCTACCCACAGTGCTCTGGTCTACTCCTTCAGACAGACAGACAGACATCCTTCCTCTGTCCCTCTATCTCCCAGCAGCTGGAGGGCAAAGGCTATACAAAGGCTACAGCAGACACAGGGATGGGAGCAGTGGCACAGCGGAGTTGGACGACACAGAGCAGGCCTAGCCAAAGCACAACACGCGGATCTTGGGGAGTCCTGCGATAGCATCAGCACCTTTGATTTTGATGCATTCAGAATCACGATATAAGTGTGACGCTGGTATACTGCTAGTCATCAGCTTCAAATTCTGTCCCCCTAAGAGTGCAGCATGGTGAAAGGCTCCATCTCCATTTCAGTTTTAAATCAGAGGCTATGCTTCTTTCCCTGCAGCTCTCGATGACAACTCATAACCAAAGAAATCAAGTCTCTCCCTGCCTAGAATTGGCAGGGCCATCACCCTGCAGAACTGCACCACTGTACCCCCCTGCCAGTTTAACAGCCTGCCAACGTGCAAAAACACTGCATCAAACAAATGTACGTGGAATTTTTAAATTTCAATTTTCAGTTTGATCCATTTGATCACTTTCCAAATCATTTTCTTCACCAAGAAAGTATTTCAAAAATTCTCACTGTACCTTAAACATTTGTGAAGATTTGTTTATACCAAACTACACTGAGTTTACAAAATAAATAGCGGTCTTTCTTCAGGTGAGATCCTAGAGTATCTGGCAGGAATGCAAGCCACCAGCACAAACAGCCGAAAAAGATCTCAAAGTTTGCTACATTATACTTTGTTTCAAATACTGCTATTAGTCCTTAACCTTTTGAAAGTTGAATTCACTCGCTTTCGTAAAAAAACAAACAAAGAAACAAACCAACCCACCACACCCCCCAATAAATAAATAAATAAATAAAAGCCCATTAACACCTTCTGGTAGCAACTCATGTCATGTTACTTGAAAGTGAACGAACATTTGTCCCTATTCTCTATTGTGAGAGGTTCTAAATTTCTGAATACATCACAGAAAGGCTGACAGACAGGATGGTCTGACTTCTCCGAGTTTCAAATATTTAAGAGGCATGCCAAAGAAAGAAGCTTTTTGGTCAATTACTTTTTTGTTTTTTTGGTTTTTTTTTTCAGTAAGCCTTCCTCTGCTGGAAGTCAGGAGGACCAAGTCACCAAGCTAAATCTGTTTACATATGACAATGTCATCAAAAATTTTAATATTCTTCCTTCCTATGTAAAAAACACATTCTAGGGACCAAAAAAGGCTGTGACAGGAGGAGAATATGGGGAAAATTTCTGTTCAGAACATTTATGCTTGCAATTTGTCCATTTTTGTTCTTCTGCAATTCTAACATAAAGAAGTTTGAAATCTTACTCTTGATTTTCACAGCATCTGTCTTCAAATACAGACAACAATTCCTTAATGCCTTAAGTGGGCTCAGGTAGTGCTAGGTGACAAGTTTACTCCCAAGTTAATCCACTTTATAGCAAGAGAATGAGATTTCATGTCTTCACGGGAAAACGCACGGCCGGTATGCCACACAGCCACCTGCAGACACTATGTAATCCATGAAGTATTTTTTGGAGGTAACTGGGAAACCATACTGATAGTTTCTCAGCAATAACAAAAACAAACAAACAAAAAGCAAGCCTGGCACAGCACCAAGGCTGTATTTTTTCCACCAATGCAGATCTCCCAGAGAGATCTTGCAACAACAGATCTTAGTGCTCCCAAAAGAAGGAAATGAGGATGAATTTATCATCTTATCAGCGTGGATTATCCTGTGCCAAGTAAGAAATGTGAGAAGGAACTGAAGTTCTTAAGAATCTGTCTCCCATGGAGCCATTATTCGATAAGAGATCGCACAAAAGATCTAAAGTTGAGACTAGTTTCTTAGGTAGGGCATTTTAAATTTGTAGCATGAAAGGCAGACTCCAAGGACACAAGCAGATATATTTATTCATTTCAGCTTTTATCCCAAGTTAATCCATACCCAGGGTACATCTTACACAGATCATCATTCACTATGCTTTCATTCCACACTACAGAAAGGTGACAGAGTAAGCTCACTGCAGATTCTTTAGAGGAATGACGTGGCCAGGTACTAGAATACAAGAACTCAAGATGCTGAAACACATTCAAGGGAGAACAAACAGCATCAAGTGTGAGAACATGGTGGCCCTGATCTGTCTGCTCAAGCCACTGATGAAAACAGCACAGAAGGCTGTTCCACATGGAGGATACTGCCATATCACTCCAAAATTAGGTTTGAATTGCAGAAATCCTGGATTTAAAGCTATTTCCTGGCAGGAAGGTAGGCAGGCAAATGCAAATAGAGAAACTGAGTGTTTAAGAGTGCAGAAGAGCCCACTACTCTCACCAACAAGGCGGGAAGACTCATGACATGCAGAATCTTAGAACAGCTGGCAAGATGCAGCAGTTGCCCAGAAGAGAGGCTAGCAGTGTACTGGTATTTGTTGGTCTTGTTAGTTCTCTCAATTGTCAAGGATATGGAAACTTTTTCTTTCTCACCCTGACTAGTAGGCTTAGTAGAGTCATGCAACCGAAAGCACTCCAGTTGTTTTCCAGTCATGATCTTGAGTCATATCAGAAGCTGGTACAGTGAGTGTACTGCTTATTTTAATAAATCAGGCTTTCAAACATCTGGCTTTTCATAGAAAAATAATGAGAACTCATAGTGTTAGGCTGCATAGTCTAAGTGATGAAACACAATATGACACCCATGCACTGTTTTAAAATGAAGGACCACAAACAAAAGTAAGCTATTAATCCAAACAAGAAGTATCCCAATTGCAATCAATCCAGTAAAATGTGTAATTTGTCAACTGACACCCTTTGGCTCGCATAAAAGGAATCCTATCATTTAAATTGAAGATGAGGAGAAGTGTTCTTGGAAGAATGACAGTGTGATAAAGAAAATGTAAGTTAAAAGCATTCAAACAAGCTCACTTTACCAAGCCTGCAAAGATTAAATAAGTATTTTAAGTGCAAGTTGCATATTGAAATAAGATCAACTTATTTTGAGATTAACTTGAGGGAAGCTACAATAATACAAATCACATACTAACACACAAGCACTTTTCTTGGCATAAAACATTGTCATCCTTATTGCAGAGATGTTTTCCATGGAATTTCAGAACTTTTATTAAGCTTTACCAAATAATCATAGGATTTTTCTTCGAATATATAGTTTCTGTACACACTGAGAGGAAAAAAAGCTGTCAACAAAATCTTTAAAAGTATCCATTTTGCTTGGTAGAGGTTCTCCAAACCTTTACTCTAGGCAAAGCATTTCACAAGAGACATCTACAGGCAGAGCTCCTGGGTGCGCACACATTTTGGAGGAGGAGAAAGGGGAAAGGGAGGGACTGCACAGAAAAGGTCTCCCAGCACCTCTTTTCACACAGTGCTCCACAGCTGCTTGCAGAACATCCATAGCCAGTGAAGCATGTTGCTTCATTTCAAAAACTGCTGCTACGCCAAACCCTACGGCAGTACTTCAGAACTATTCATTTCAGTAACCCTGACATCAGTTTTTCCAAAGATTACTGGTGCAGTAAGTTGGAGAGCTAAGTGGTAAAGACAATATTCCTAATTAAAGCAACAGCCATTTAAACAAAAATATACTGAATGAAAAGTGTGACGACCTCTCCAATTCAGAATCAAAACTTAAAATACAATCAAAAGAAAACATTAATGGATTTAAAAGGTCTGCCTGGATGGTGGCTGCTATGAAGTAAAGCTGAACAGAGACCCTGAAGGAAAGTGGCAAAACTTGTTTGCTACCAGAGTACAACACATGGTCCAGCTCTTTTTCTGCACTTCGACTGATAGTGGGTAAGGGCTATTCTGTCTTCTCCCCTTTTTTTCTTAAGCAAGTAGTAAAGTATTATTTATTAATGAGCAAGTACCCAGAGATACTAACTGGGCTCACTTTAAAAATAAAATTAATACATGCAGTACTGGGTTGAGTTGCTGTAGTTAGGATTTAAAAGATTATTTATGAGAGATGAAAAAAGAAAATACGCTTAAGGATTAATAACAGATAGACAAAATATGAAAATCATCTGCATTTTAACATCTATTTGTAGAACAGAACTGATTTAATGTTTTTGCTC